TCGGTCAAAATTCTTTCGAATTTTCCGCGATGCCGCCAACTTATGAGCCGACTCATCAGCCATTGTTTGCAATTGTCAACAACCAATATGGCTCCTACCACAACTTCCAATCTACAAATATGAACAACACCACCTATTTTGAGAATGATTATACAAGGTTCATTGATTATCAACCTCTAATGATAAATCATGCCCTGCCGTGACAGCCAACTATTGTTCCAAACCTCAATGCAATGGTTAGGGGGAGTGGATAGCTGAGCATTCCCATTTCCATCACCCATAACTTGTTCCAAGCGTTCGATCCTGGCTAGCAGCGCATTCTTCTTCTTAAGGATATTTCCTAATGTATTATAGTTCCAATGGCTAGCGTCAGCGACGAAAGCATCAGTCGAGCTAGTGAGATCATGGCCTTTCGCCCAAGCATTTGCAGTCATTGGCCGGAACCCCTCGTGTGTTAACCAGGCAGCGATGAACCTGAAAGGTTTTGGCCCCCCCCCCGGCTGCACATGAGGATTTGGCTTGATCAAAATCGGGCGATGGTCGGATTTGACTCGAGGAAGATGCCTCACTATGGTTTTCCGGAAACTTTTCTGTCCAAGCCTGATTTACAAGGCCCCTGTCGAGTCTCTCCTTCACACCGTTCCGAAACCAAGTGAATTGTGGTCCAACGTATCCCAAGTCCATCAGCTCCGAGTCATGGATACAGTCTTTCAAGTCCCTGGCTCGATTGGAATCAAAGGGTGCCCCTCCCGCCTTTTTCAGATGGGTGTAAGATAGAATTGAAGTCGCCCGTCAACACCCATGGAAGGTCAATGTCTTCGGCTAACAGCCGTATAGACTGCCACAAGGCTCGTCTTTGTACGAGTGCCGGGTTCCCGTAAATTGCTGTTAATAGCCACGTCTGATTCAGTCCGGAGTTAACCTGAACATGTAGAAACTGAGAGGGGAGAAGTAGCTCGCATTTTAATTAGAACAAGAAGGAGAGAAATAAGCTCGAACTTTGTGAGAGGAGAGGTTATCAATATGCTCGACTGAAAGGAGAGGGGGAGAGTTCGACCGAAGGGCGAAGGGAGAGGAATAGGGCATTCCATAAAGGTAAAAGGCATTGTGCATCCGGGTGGACGTGCTTCTATGGGAGATTTGCTGGTGAAATCCTTGTGAAAAAACTTTCCGACGAAAAGCGGGCTCCTTGAAATGACCACATTAAACAAGTCTTTCTGGTCTTCGGAGTGTTGATGGCTTTTAGATTACAAGGGGATGTCTGAAGTCATATAGAGAATGTCCCATGGTTACCTCCCTTCTTTTCCAATATGCGAAGGTACCGAAGGTGATCATCAAGTGACCAATAAACAGATGGGATCTGGTCTTTCGTGTCAGAAGGCGAAGAGAAGTAAAAAAGTAGACATCATGAGGGCAAAGAAAAGGCTGTTGTGCTTCCCGGTGAGGTCGAAACAAGGCGGATTGCCTCTTCTCCTCAAGTATTATGAGTAGAAGTCGAACGGGTATTAATCCAATGTTTAGTCAAAAACTTCCTTATAAAGGCAGGGTTGGATTGGTCCAATTTCATGGTTAAAAATGGGTATGTTGGTTAGACTGAGTCCGTTCCTCTCCTTCTAGTCGAGCCGACCTTTCTCACCTAATATTAGGAGAGGACCGTAGTACCACAGCAACTTCGTTCCTTCGCCCTACGGGCTCATAATAAACCTTCGGTCGAATATATTCCCTCCTCTCCCTATCGGGAGAGCTACTGCGTAACCTCAAGCTTGATCTGATCTTTCTTATGTCTGCTCCTGTCTTGTCGCCTCCTATTATACCGGTGGGCCACTCCTGCTTTTCGTGTTCACCACCGACGACATTTCCTTATTTTGGGACGTTATGGCAAAAGACGATGACTCGCTGGGCCCAAACGGAGCAGGATGATACCCATTGCCATTGGTCGAATATTAATTAGAATTTTTCTATCTTTGGACCCCAGAAAGCCAGATAAAAGAATCATTAACATTGGATTAAAAGACAGGGGAAGTAAGTTAGAGGCTCTTTAGCACATTAAACCATTGAAGCCTGCATATGGCGAATGATGCCCTGTCCATTAAAGACATAGGAAATGTATTCCTTCCTATTTGAAGAGCACCTAAGAACGCATCTATCTTCACAAGAAAGGACTCGACTGTTCACTCGTTTTCTTTTTACGCATTGCATGGACTCATGATACACTCTACATTATGAGAGAGATGCTGACAGACAACAGTGTCTATCTTCTTATTCCTCCGCCACGTCCGTGGACAAAAAGTACTACGTACCCAACCAAGGATACGGGCCGGGTCGGCGTAAAGAAGAAATGCAAGATTTTATGCATGAGTTGGTTCGACTGTTTCAGCTAGAGTTTGGGTCGCCCAGGTCGAGTAATTGGACATGTTTCTCTCAAGGCCTCGTGAGAACTATGCTGGGAAAAATACTAATAGGATCCGGGAGACGTAAGGATAGCCAAACCCTTTTTATAGGATCTCATAACTTTATGTGCGGGTGTGACAAACATAGATTGAGCTATCCGGGTGGGCCCCCGAAGGGTAGGTAAAGCAAAGCCCATAGGCCTTGACTATACCTTTGAAAACCAAGTATGGGGTTTAGGTCGTTGGTCCTCCCGGGGAAAGATAAAGTTCATTTCGATCTAAGAGACCACCCTGTAAGGCACTAAAGCAGTCCGCATTGGCTGGCTCTGCCTCTCCCTCCAATGGAAGTGAAAGACTGGCCTGGCCCCTTTGGTTTCTTCCTCCCCCAGTTCCACGTCCACGTCCAGCTCCTGACCCCTCTCCTTGATCCATAGGCTCACGCCTTCTATCTGCATTCATAGGTAGGGCGCGGTACAAGCCATAAAGTCGTGTGTTTTTTGTTCCTTCGCCCGCTTTTCGGGCTCATAATAAACCTTCGCCCTACGGGCTCATAATAAACCAAAGTTTATCTTTTTTTGCTATTTAATAATATCATATATAGACTCAGCATTCTCGATCTCAAAACTTAAGGCACAAAATGAATACTTCTTTCCCTTGCCTTTTTCTGCTAGTGAGCATACCAAACTAGCTTGTCACGAGCGGGGCTCGGAGCTAGGCAAAAGTAGCTTCATAGATTTTGCAACCTACTAGTAATGATCTTCTTCAATGAGTCGGGAAAACTGACACAACAACTAAGTGTTAGCACTATACTAACACATTCATTAAGGGTATTATAGTATTTTTCCTTCTTCCTTCCCCTTCCCCTTCCCCTTATTTTTCCCTCCCCCTTCCATTTACGTAGTTTTCTAGGTTTCATTTACAAATTACAGTTTTGGTACTTGAACTTAATAGGCATTAATATTTAGTACCTAGTTTTTTTTTACATTCGAATACCAAAAATATCAATGAAAAATTACATTTTAGTATCTCAGATTTTTTTCCTTACATTTTGGTACCTAAACTTTTTATAATTTACAAACAGGTCCACTACTAAGAAATTTATGGCCTGCTTTGAAAAACTTGTGGTCTAATTCGTGGTTGTGGTATGCTTTGAGGTTGTGGCATGCTTTGAGGAGGTTGTTACATGCTTTGATGCTGTGGCCTGTTTTGTGGTTGTGGCAACTTAAATGCTTTGAGGTTGTGGCATACTTTGATGAGGTTGTAGCATGTTTTGAGGCTCCCATTTCCCAATTTTTCATAATACCAAGTGTGTCTCTTCTTCTTTTTCCTCCTCATTAATTGTGGTCAACTCATTTAAATGAAAAAGTCATTATATTGGTTGGAGCTAGTGTTAGCACCATGCTAACAAAAAAAAGTATTAGCATGCTAGCTTTTTCAATGGTTAGGACTTAGGAGATGATTAGAATTAATAAAGAAAAAGTAATAAATAGAAATTGGTTGGGGGCTGTGAATACTAGGTCCATCAGTAATTGAACCACATACATAAATTTACAAAATCCATTTACAAAATCCAGCAGCTTTACCCTGCTGCTTGCTCCAACAGGTATTAACATCGAAGTTCATTCTTGGCCACGTAGTCAACAACCATAATTTTCAAAATTCGCATGCATTTCACAGATCTACAATTCCTCCACTTCCAGAGAGAACCCGCAGTGGCACCGCTTTGTCCTCACTAAGCTCTGCTCATCGAAACTCTCATCCTCCGCCAAAAAAATGTGTTGATGCTCCTCTGTCGTTGATGCAGCAAATGAAGCAGCCATGATCCTATTCTCTACACCAGAGGGTGTTTGGATTGCATGCTCACCAAGATCTCGGTCGCAGACGTCTTTATCAGTCTTATTATGATTCGCGTTCTGAGAATTAATCATGTGGGCTGATGAATTGTTTCCATACAATTTATTTAACCTTTCCCTGGTTATAATGGAGGAGACAAGTTGATACCAGTCGCACCAAAGAGTGTTTTTTTAATTTTGTTTTACCTTGATGGGGATGTGGGTTCTATCGTTTTCATGGCCAAAAGGATGTTTAGGTAACTGGGGTGAAGTTTTGTGGTCTGGATGACAATGGAGTTTTAGGTGAAGAAGGCAGTATGGATTTGAGGAATTCATTTAGTTTCCAATGTTGCGATTACTTCTGTGTCGGCAGTTTCCGTAGATGATTGGTTTCATTGCTTCTTGTTTATGCCTTGTTGAAGTTCAAATTTCTACCATGTATGCTGTAGAATGCAAATTGGCACTGCTGCTGGAGAAACTGTGCAATGTTAACCATTTGAATTTGGAAGTGTTTTGGCGTCCAATAAGTTAGATACATTGGCAAGATCGAACATTTTAAGTGTACCGTAGCTAGCTGTTCTGTGATATGAAATATCTGTTCACTCATAAGTCAGAACTATGAATGTATCACTTTTCAATGCTTCCAATGATAAACCAATCATTTGACTGCATGTTCTCCCTGTCCCTCTCTTTCCCCCCATTCCCCTCCCCTTGAGCGACAAGCATTGCCAAGTCAATTGTCTGTTTTTGACATTTCCTGTACATGGATTTGTATGATCCAACTTTGTTTGTGTTCATTGCAGTGGTGTAAAGCAGATTCTCCTGTAAAATGGCTGCCTTCAAAGCTTTCTGGAATAGCCCTGTTGGTCCAAAGACGACACACTTTTGGGGACCTGTGGCGAATTGGGGATTTGTGGCAGCTGTATGTTCTGAAAGATCTGCTTTTGGCATGCTTTTATATCTGCTTTTGCTATACTTGCAGTGAAATTCTAAGATTATGTTACTATTTTTAACAGGGTCTGGTAGATATGCAGAAACCCCCAGAGATGATCTCTCCGAATATGACGGGAGGTAGGTGTTTCTGAGTGAAAGGGCTTAGCAAAACAACTTATGTTTTCGTTGTTGTTGTACTTGTAATTAACTGCTTAATACTGAGAGCTTATTGGTCCTGCAGCGATGTGTGTTTATTCAGCATTGTTCATGAGGTTTGCCTGGATGGTACAGCCACGCAACTATCTCCTTCTAGCCTGTCATGCTTCAAATGAGACTGTCCAACTCTATCAGTTCTCACGGTGGGCAAAGGCTCAAGGGTAAGTTACCTAACTTCCCATGCTAATGCATGGTTTAGTTACAGAAGTCCAGAATCCCATTCTCTTTTCCTGTTATTGTATCTTTGATTGAATGGTTTATTTCCTTGTTGGCCGTAGGTACTTGTCTGAGGAGAAAAAGGACAAGGCCTAATGGATGTGCCTTCGTATATCAATCACCGGAGGCTGCTGCACATTGTTCTAGTGATTTTCTTCTTCTACTTCTCTTAACTCACTTTGTTTCTTGTATCAAACGCTTGTGACCACGTTGTCCGATTAAGGTCAGAATTCTCTCAAGTTCATTTTTTCCCCCAGAATTGATTGGCTGCTATTTATGACATTTTGGTTGGAGAAATAACATGTACAGAGCATAACGAGAGGACCAAGAATGGGCTTTTCCATGTACCATCTGTCCTTTTAGGAAGCAGAATTGTACTTCAAAACCATTTGATGAAAAACTTGTACTTGTCAACTTGACAATCTTCGTAAGGCTCTCTTGTTCTGTTATTCTTGTCATGGTGGTTTGTGATGCGATCCAGGATGGGCCAATCTGGGGCCTTTGTAAGGAAGGATGGGTGGATTACATTTCATTGTAACATCGGGTTATACTTGCAATGAATTCTTGAAAATTTTGAATCTCTCTAAGAATTATAGAATGCAAGTCGGTAGTGATGCTGATATGCCATTCAGAATGAAAATTTACTCTCAGCTATTGTCTTATACCCTTTGGAGGCAAGCCAGCTGAGTTCCGTATATTGTGCGGGGATGTCAAAATTGCACAATGGAAATGCAGAGTTTAAAACATTTTGCTCTCTCTACATTGATGGTGAAAAGAATCAAAAGATGACATTCGAAGTTAGATGCATCACCACTAGGGTTGGTAATTAAAACTATATAATTGTGGGTTTCTCACCGCTCACAATCCAGTTAAATAAGGGAATCTCCACTTTGAATGGATGTGGGATGGGGTACGGATAAAACTCATACATAGACTGGTGGAAAGAGGGTTCAGCTTCCTCTGTTCTTCCTCTCTAGTCTCTACAGATAAAGCTGAATTCATTCCCATCTTTCTCTATAGCAATGGTGGCTCCAATGGAATTCACAGATAAAGGGTCTGCATGCTACGAGGACTAGGGCTCGGTTGTGCCTCATCAGCCACCTCCTCTATTCTTCTCATCCCTCCATGGTTCAACATACAATCAACAATATTTTAGGAGGATTAGACCTTAGACAGCCGTCTCACCTCTAGCGATCTCTCAACCACTTTGTTGGTTGTTTATTTTGCCTTTACGAGTAAATTAGATTAGTTTAAACACCCAACCTTTGATTCAATTAGATAGTAGTTCGGAGTGAAGCAATAGTAAGTTTAGACTTCCCTTGAAATACGACCGAGCCACTTTACTACAACCCTAGCTAGGTTATGCACTTATGCTTGGATTAGTCAGGATTGAATAGAGAATGTGTATCGACTTATAAATTTAAAGCTCGATCGCACAAGCGATCAAGACCTAACTGAGGTGACATTCCAAGAGGATGTAAAAGTTGTCATTGACAAGATTCCACGTCGGGAGGTGCGAGTTGCAAGAGGATGAATACTTTTTTAGTAAATTGATCGCCTCCAATAGTTATTGGAGGTATTCAGTGAAATTTATAGGCAGGCAAAACAATTGGCCTGTCCATTTGTTTGCTAAAAATGCTCTTTCTTTGTTTCTTGCAAGCATTAGCGGTTTTGATTTGGAACATTAGCTCATTTTTGGAGGGTAAATTATGGTTTATTTGTTTTCTTAGTAATACTTATACAAGTGAGCTATGAGGAAAAAAAATTCACAAGTAATAATTTCTTGACAAATAAAATATTCAAATACGCAGACATGAAAATTCTGAAATTCGCCATCATAATTTAGTGTACGTGGCAAGGATTGAAATATCGTACCGAAGGTTGTACCGGAGAAGTCAACGTTAGGGTATTTTATGCTAAAATCGTGGTTTAGCCATGGTTCAACTATTTCATACCACTAAATACCGCCTACCGATTTAGACTATGATAGGAGGATTTTTTTTCAATTCTTATTGTGAATTAAATTCGTTGTCTGTTAGCTTTGGCCCTTTAGCCTTTAGGTCCGGTCACCTTGTCTGATGTGTGGACTATTAATTATGCAATATATGCTGTAATCGTCAATCATATTCATATGGTCCAAATGCACTCCTAAAACCCATTTTAAAAAGTCTAATACATATAGAGCAATACAAGGCAACCCGCATGTCGATTCACCGGTTGGCCCACTTTAACACTGAGCCGGTAAAAAAACGGATCGTACGCATTCATTGGGTCGATTCATTGCAAGGTATTGGATTGGATGTCAAAGAGCGTGATTTTTTCTTTAGTTTAAGAAATGTGCTTATATTTCTTGTTTTTTCTTTTCGCCTCACCCAATTTTTGGAATTTTAAGTTGAAAATTTGAACATTGATGTTATTTCGCTGTATGAGAAATTTTATTATATATTGGATCCAAGTACGACATGTTATTTTAGTGTAATGGTATATGTTATTATTCATATGTTGACGGAATTTTATATAATTTATAAATGTATGAGGAAGTCACCGATGAAGCATATGAAGGCGAGGAGTAGGAGATTTTCTCCGGCAATGAAGATATCTGTAGCGATGACAGACAACAAATCTATTTCCTTTTCTAATTCAATCTTAACCTCAATCTCTCTTCCAATTTGATTCTTTGTAATGATGTCAGCCGCGGCGGCGGTTCAATAAGAGGAGGAAAGTTTAAATCCAATGAAAGACCATACAGATCTCGATTCCCACACAAAAAGTTAATATGCTAACTTAAGATTCGTTAGCAGATACTATCTGATATCCAGAATGCATGCACTAGTATCCAAGTCTGTTGCTTTTATGAAGTAGTACTAAAGTATCTAGCGAGCACAGATTGGTATTCAAGGTTTGCTAACTGATATCCACCATGAATCAACTATTATCCCAAATTCATAAACTAATATCTAGACAACACAGATTAGTATCCATACATCACATAATCAGTATCCATATAACACATAAGGGTATCCATATTGAATACTAGTTGGTTTGATTGTGGATATTAGTTGGTAATTGATTGGCTGAATACTAATATGTGAGTTGGATACTAGTTTTGTGATGTTTTGAATACTAGTATGTGCTATCTAGATACTTTAGTACTATTTCATAAAATCAGCAGACTTGGATACTAGTTCATACATTTTGGATATTAGTTAGTATATACTAACAACTCAGGCGGTTAGCAGAATAACTCTATTGATTCCCACAAGGCAAGGAACGTTCTTGATGCAGAGGTCTTCAAAAATGAAAAAAAAAAAAACCATATTGTTCCAATCTTTCTCTTTCCCAGGTTTTGCAATCTGATCGGTCCTCAATGAAGAGGAATTACCCCGCATCCGTCGATGGTGGGCGGGCGAGGATGATGGTTCAGCAGAGTAGGGAGTTGAGTCCTAATCCGGTTGAGACCCGACCGAACAGGAGAGACACTTCACACTTGTGATCGCTACACGAGAGCGACACCGTTTCGTTAAATTGATAATTTTTTATTTATTGTTTAAATTGACATGTCATTAATTTAACAGTCCAGTCACCTGTTCTTTTTGGCACAGTATAAAACGGAGTTAATGGGGTCTAACAGAGACTAATGGTCGGTGCTCAACGGTGAATCGTAAAGTTATGGCGAATAAGAAATAAAAATAATTCGGGTGACAAACGTGAAAGAGTTATGTAATTTGAGCGACCAAACGTGTAATTTAACCGTGTGAATAATATGATAAATTTTACCATATATCAGGACTAAACCGATTTAAAACGGTCGACCTACCCACTTACTCGATCGAGCTAATGGGTTGAACCGGTTTGACAACCTTGGAGGAACATTATTCTCTGGCCAGGCAGCTATTTGGTCCCAAAAGCAAAAATATAACCTTGGGAATTTGACAATTTGTAGTACGCCCAGTCATCACTCATCACCAATCATTCACCACACGCCCCACCTTCCTCAGTCTCGAGTCTCGACTCGAGTCTCATCCACCATTCAATAACATTTTGCATCCTCTCCAACCATGGCCGCCGCCGCCGCCGACCGCAGCCGCGATTGCGTGGATCCCAACAGCGGATTCTGCCGGAAGACCAAAATCTTCCAAAGCCTCCGGCCTCCCACGCCTCTGCCTCCGGCCGACGAGCCCCTCTCCCTCGCCCACTACGCCACCTCCCTTCTCCGCACCTCCCCCACCGTCACCGACCTCTCCTCCGCGAGCTTCGTCATCGACGCCGCCACCGGCGAAGTTCTCACCTACGCCGCCTTCCTCCGCCAGACTCGATCCCTCTCCCTCGCTCTCAAGCGGCTCTACCCTTCCCTCTCCCCAAACGACGTCGCTTTCATCCTCTGCCCGGCCTCCGTCCACACCCCCGTTCTCTACTTCGCACTCATGACCCTCGGCGTCGCCGTCTCGCCTTCCAACCCTCTGAGTTCCGAGTCCGAACTCGCTCACCAAATCCAACTCACCAAACCTAAAATCGCCTTCGCCACTTCCCAAACAGCCCCCAAGCTCCCTTCTCCGCTTCACTTCCCCACCATTCTCATCGATTCCCCTCAATTCCTCTCTTTATTGACCGAATCCACAATTCCTCCCGCCGCCGAACCCTCCGCCTTGGGGCCCAGCCAATCGGACACCGCCGCGATCCTCTACTCGTCGGGAACGACGGGGAAAGTGAAGGGAGTGAGATTGAGTCACCGGAACATGATCGCACTGACCTCGGGGTTCTACCACAACCGGCACCAGCACGACCCGGCCCAACCCGACCCGCACCCGGTGGCTCTCATGACGGTGCCTCTGTTCCACGTCTTCGGCTTCTTCATGCTGGTGAAGGCAATCGCGATCGGGGAGACGCTGGTGCTGATGCAGAGGTTCGATTTCGAAGGGATGCTGCGGGCGGTGGAGAAGTACAGGGTGACTTACATGCCGGTTTCTCCGCCGCTAATCGTGGCGATGGTGAAGTTGGATCTGACCAACAAGTACGATCTGAGCTCGCTTTCGGTACTGGGCTGCGGCGGGGCTCCGCTCGGGAAGGATGTCGCTGAGAAGTTCAAGGAGAAATTCCCCAACGTGGACATCATCCAGGTATATATATATATATATATATATATATATGTATATAGAGTCTAATTGAATTGAAGAAGCTTTGTTGAATTTTTGTGGTTGGTGTGATTGAAAATTTGTGGGAGACAGGGATATGGGTTGACGGAGAGTGGGGGAGGGGGAACGAGAATGATGGATGCGGAGGAAATGAAGAACTACGGGTCGGCGGGTCGGATCTCGGAGAATCTGGAGGCCAAGGTTGTGGATCCGGAAACAGGGGAGGCTCTGGGTCCTGGCCAGAGAGGGGAGCTTTGGTTGAGAGGCCCAGTTATCATGAAAGGTCAGGCTGGCAGCAGAATAGATAAACTCTTGCGAGGATTCGACTTTTAGCTTACATGGTGGAAAATGGCTGTGCATGCTTTGTTTGGTTTATCAGGTTATATTGGGAATGACCAGGCAACTGCTGAAACTCTGGACGCGGAAGGATGGCTGAAGACTGGTGATCTTGGCTACATCAACTCTCAAGGGTACCTCTACATTGTGGACAGGCTCAAGGAGT